ACTTGCCTTCAATCTGTCCTGTGAGCATCAGATTTTCCAATCCCTCTTTCCACATTATGTATCCCAGAAATTTTAATTGTCTTTTTCTATATTCTTCTATGTTCTGCGTTCCTTCAGGAAGTGAGCGCTTATGGCTCTCCACAATTTCCTTTCCTTTGTATCTCTTAATAAATTTTGCCTTTATGTTATCTCTCTCAAATCTTGTTCCACCATCCATTTACTCAAGATCACTAAGTAGGTTATGCGTTGTTTTTCTCTGCCCGTCTTACCTTCAATCGGCCCTGTGAGTATCAGATTTTCCAAACTTTCCTTCCTTATTACGGGTTCCAGAAACCTCAATTGATTTTTCCTGATGTTAAATATAAGTTTCTTCTTTGTTTACATTTTCTCTAAAACCTCGTCGTTGCTCAAATATTCGGTCCATGGGTCCCCAGCATCCTTCTGTAGGACCATATTTTGTTACTTCAAGTTTCTTCTTCATTCGTGAGGAGATTGTCCAGTATCCACTGACATATACAAGGATTCATATCACGTAACAGTTCGGTGTTTTTCTGTCTCTCAATATTCTGCTTAGTTTTAGGAAAGCATCTTTGGCCTTACCAACGCGTTTGTGAATCTCAGTGTTGCACTCTCCGTCTGCTGTTGAAACATTTCCCAGATATTTAAATGTTTGCCCTTGTTTTGATTTTGGTATCTCCAATTTGTAATTTGCATTTTGGGCTCCCCATTTTTCTAACAACCGGGAATTCTGTCTTCTTGCAGCTGATGTTTATATGGTGATGACAGCACAGAAAAAAAGCCAAAAAATGGAGGGCTTGGAAAATCTGATACTCACAAGACAGACTGAAGGAAAGAGGGAAAGAGGAAAGCAGCGTGTCATATATTTGATGAGCTTCAGTAAATGGATTGTAGAACAGGGTTTGGGAGAAATAACAAAAAAGACAAAACTTATAAAGAGCTACAAGGGAGAGGAAGATGTGGAGAACCATGATCGCCTATGTCCTGAAAGGGCTTGGAAAATCTGATATTCACTAGACAGACTGAAGGAAAGAGGGACAGAGGAAAGAAGCGTGTCATATATTTGATGAGCTTCAGTAAATGGATTGTAGAACAGGGTTTGGGAGAAATAACAAAAAGACAAAACTTATAAAGAGCTACAAGGAGAGGAAGATGTGGAGAACCATGATCGCCTATGTCCTGAAAGGGCTTGGAAAAATCTGATATTCACTAGACAGACTGAAGGAAAGAGGGACAGAGGAAAGCAGCGTGTCATATATTTGATGAGCTTCAGTAAATGGATTGTAGAACAGGGTTTGGGAGAAATAACAAAAAAGACAAAACTTATAAAGAGCTACAAGGGAGAGGAAGATGGGAGAACCATGATCGCCTATGTCCTGAAAGGGCTTGGAAAATCTGATATTCACTAGACAGACTGAAGGAAAGAGGGACAGAGGAAAGAAGCGTGTCATATATTTGATGAGCTTCAGTAAATGGATTGTAGAACAGGGTTTGGGAGAAATAACAAAAAGACAAAACTTATAAAGAGCTACAAGGGAGAGGAAGATGTGGAGAACCATGATCGCCTATGTCCTGAAAGGGCTTGGAAAATCTGATATTCACAAGACAGACTGAAGGAAAGAGGGACAGAGGAAAGAAGCGTGTCATATATTTGATGAGCTTCAGTAAATCGATTGTAGAACAGGGTTTGGGAGAAATAACAAAAAGACAAAACTTATAAAGAGCTACAAGGGAGAGGAAGATGTGGAGAACCATGATCGCCTATGTCCTGAAAGGGCTTGGAAAATCTGATATTCACAAGACAGACTGAAGGAAAGAGGGACAGAGGAAAGAAGCGTGTCATATATTTGATGAGCTTCAGTAAATGGATTGTAGAACAGGGTTTGGGAGAAATAACATAAAACACAAAACTTATTAAGGATACAAGGAGAGGAAGATGTGGGGACCATGATCGCCTATGTCCTGAAAGGGCTTGGAAAATCTGACACTCACAAGACAGATTGAAGGAAAGAGGGACAGAGGAAAGAAGCGTGTCATATATTTGATGAGCTTCAGTAAATGGATTGTAGAACAGGGTTTGGGAGAAATAACATAAAACACAAAACTTATTAAGTGATACAAGGAGAGGAAGATGGGGGGACCATGATCGCCTATGTCCTGAAAGGGCTTGGAAAATCTGAACTGATTGAAGGAAAAGGGACAGAGGAAAGAAGGTGTCATATATTTGATGAGCTTCAGTAAATGGATTGTAGAACAGGGTTTGGGAGAAATTGAAGGATACAGGGGGACATGATCGCATATGTCCTGAAAGGGAACAGACTGAAGGAAAGAGGGACAGAGGAAAGCAGCGTGTCATATATTTGATGAGCTTCAGTAAATGGATTGTAGAACAGGGTTTGGGAGAAATAACATAAAACACAAAACTTATTAAGGATACAAGGGAGAGGAAATGTGGGGGACCATGATCGCCTATGTCCTGAAAGGGGCTTGGAAAATCTGACACTCACAAGACAGATTGAAGGAAAGAGGGACAGAGGAAAGAAGTGTCATATATTTGATGAGCTTCAGTAAATGGATTGTAGAACAGGGTTTGGGAAACATAAAAACACAAAACTTATTAAGATACAAGGGAGAGGAAGATGTGGGGACCATGATCGCCTATGTCCTGAAAGGGCTTGGAAAATCTGACACTCTTCTACAGACTGAAGGAAAGAGGGACAGAGGAAAGCAGCGTGTCATATATTTGATGAGCTTCAGTAAATGGATTGTAGAACAGGGTTTGGGAGAAATAACATAAAACACAAAACTTATTAAGTGATACAAGGGAGAGGAAGATGTGGGGGACCATGATCGCCTATGTCCTGAAAGGGCTTGGAAAATCTGACACTCACAAGACAGATTGAAGGAAAGAGGGACAGAGGAAAGAAGCGTGTCATATATTTGATGAGCTTCAGTAAATGGATTGTAGAACAGGGTTTGGGAGAAATAACATAAAACACAAAACTTATTAAGTGATACAAGGGAGAGGAAGATGTGGGGACCATGATCGCCTATGTCCTGAAAGGGCTTGGAAAATCTGACACTCACAAGACAGACTGAAGGAAAGAGGGACAGAGGAAAGCAGCGTGTCATATATTTGATGAGCTTCAGTAAATGGATTGTAGAACAGGGTTTGGGAGAAATAACATAAAACACAAAACTTATTAAGTGATACAAGGGAGAGGAAGATGTGGGGGACCATGATCGCCTATGTCCTGAAAGGGCTTGGAAAATCTGACACTCACAAGACAGATTGAAGGAAAAATGAGGGACAGAGGAAAGAAGTCTGTCATGTATTTGATGAGCTTCAGTAAATGGATTGTAGAACAGGGTTTGGGAGAAATAACATAAAACACAAAACTTATTAAGTGATACAAGGGAGAGGAAGATGTGGGGGACCATGATCGCCTATGTCCTGAAAGGGCTTGGAAAATCTGACACTCACAAGACAGACTGAAGGAAAGAGGGACAGAGGAAAGCAGCGTGTCATATATTTGATGAGCTTCAGTAAATGGATTGTAGAACAGGGTTTGGGAGAAATAACATAAAACACAAAACTTATTAAGTGATACAAGGGAGAGGAAGATGTGGGGGACCATGATCGCCTATGTCCTGAAAGGGCTTGGAAAATCTGACACTCACAAGACAGACTGAAGGAAAGAGGGACAGAGGAAAGAAGCGTGTCATATATTTGATGAGCTTCAGTAAATGGATGGTAGAACAGGGTTTGGGAAAAATAACAAAAAACACAAAACTTATTAAGATACAAGGGAGAGGAAGATGTGGGGACCATGATCGCCTATGTCCTGAAAGGGCTTGGAAAATCTGGACAGACTGAAGGAAAGAGGGACAGAGGAAAGAAGCGTGTCATATATTTGATGAGCTTCAGTAAATGGATGGTAGAACAGGGTTTGGGAAAAATAACAAAAAAGACAAAACTTATTAACAGAAACAGGAAGATGTGGAGGGCTATGATTTTTAACATCCTGAAGGGACACAGCACATAAAAGAAGAAGAATACTTTTCTTAGATTTTGGAATGCATCTTTAAATGGTTCTTCGGATTTCAGTGTCGCACTTCTCTTCCGCTTTTAGAACACTTCCCAGATATTGAAATTTTTGTTTGATTTTTGGCATCCCCCATTTGTAATTTTCATTTTGGTCTCTCCCTTTTGCTATCAACCATGCACCCTGTCTTCTTGTAGTTGGTGTTTATATGGTGAGAAACGTACTGAAAATATCAATTGGAGTGCATAATAACTCCCCACCAAGAATGGCTTTCAACCAAGTTTCTTTAAAATGAATAATGAAGATAATATCAAATAGGGGAAAATGCATTTGCTTCCCCCTATAGAATAATTTGCTTCTCCCTATAGAATCAGGTTTCCGTAAGAATAAAAAGAACAAAAAAGCTTCGTTGTTCATTCCCATCCGCGTCAAACAACCAACTATTTCAATTTTCGACCATTATTCTTTGAACTGCAAAATGGCACTTTTAAATAATTGATCTCCTAACTAATTAATTGATTAATTTCTCCATTGACACAGGATCGACGTTCAGGCTTTTCATTCATCTCACGGAAAAAAACCACTTGACTCTTCGAACGCCTTTGACGGAACATCTTTTTGTGTGGGTGGAAGAAATTGAAACGATACTGAATGTCGATTGGCTAAATTCTTTCATTCTTTGACACCTTTATAAAATGAAATTATTTTGTTTTGAGTTTCTTTCTTTCTTTCTTTCTTTCTTTCTTTCTTTCTTTCTTTCTTTCTTTCTTTCTTTCTTATGAGAGACTTCTTTCTTTCTTTCTTTCTTTCTTATGAGAGACTTCTTTCTTTCTTTCTTTCTTTCTTTCTTTCTTTCTTTCTTATGAGAGACTTCTTTCTTTCTTTCTTTCTTTCTTTCTCATGAGAGACTTTGTTCTACTTCTTTCTTTCTTTCTCATGAGAAACTTCGTTCGTTCGTTCTTTCTTTCTTTCTTTCTTTCTTTCTTTCTTTCTATATTGCCACTGCCTTTACTTTTAAATGTCTCTCTTTTTACCTTCCTTTCGTTGTGCAAACTTTTTCTTTTTTTCTTAAGAGGGGCCTTGTTCTTCTTTTCTTTCTTTCTTATGAGAGACCTGCTTTTCTTTCTTTCTTTCTTTCTTTCTTATGAGAGAGTTCGTTCTACTTCTTTCTTTCTTCTCGTTCTTCTTTTCTTTTTCTTTCTTTCTTATGAGAGTCCTCGTTTTTCTTTCTGTCTTTCTTTCTTTCTTTTTTCTTTCTTATGAGAGACTTCGTTCTACTTATTTCTTTGTTTGTTTGTTTGTTTCTTTCGTTGTTTCTTTCTTTGTTTGTTTCTTTCTTTCTTATGAGAGACTTCGTTCTTTCTTTCTTTCTTTCTATATTGCCTCTCACTTTATTTTTAAATGTCTCTCTTCTAACCTTCCATTCTTTCTTTCTTTCTTTCTTTCGTTTGTTTGTTTGTTTGTTTGTTTGTTTCTTTCTTTCTTTCTAACAGATATTTCTTTTTACGGCTTTGTCACTCTCTTTACTTTTAAATTCTTTTCTTTGTTCCTTCGTTCGTTCCTTCTTTCCTTCCTTCCTTCGAGACAATTCTTTCTTTCTTTGAAATCATTTTTTCTTCCAATTTTTAATAAAATCATTCATATTGAACAATCTGTCAACACAACAAAATTCCTTATTAAAAATTAAAAAAAATACTTTTTTAAACGTTATTTGAGAAATATTAGCTGATTTAAGGTTGAATTAAACTGAATTAAAAATAAACTACTTTTAGTTTAAAATATCCGAAAAAGCATATTTTTAATATGGAGTAGGAGTTTTTATGATGTGTTGACAGATCTATCGACAATCTAATATTAGGGAAATTTAAGTACAGCGTACATAACTGTAAAAATTACTTGGTGAATACAACATGAACGCCTATTTTTATATAATTTGTTTTTTTTTTTTTTAACTAGCTTGTAATCTTAAAAATTTCGGAAAATATTTTAACCAATCTAATATTCTTTGGAATTTTAAATACTTTAGCTTTATATTCTTACTTTCGAAGTCGCCTGTTGAGGAAATGTCATTAAAATACCAATAAATTTTAAATTTACTATACTTACCTCTCTTATTTTCTGATAATATCCTGTCTGGACATACGACAATTATCGGATTTTGTAAGAATTTCCGAATCAATGTTTTTCACCGCAAAAAGACGTTCAAATTAACCGTATGGCCCAGCGTTGACATCAGAAAAGCAAGATATTTAAGCCAAATTTATAAGGTTCTAAAATGAATTCTACACAAAAGAATACTTTGCTTTTCATATTCATAATATCAGAAAAATTTTCTTTTATTTGGTGCATTTTTTCATCATGAATCCTTTTTGTTTTTTTGTTTTTTAGCAAATCTTAGGCAGTACCTACTTTACGCCTTGCAAATGTTTAGCAGGCTCCATAACGGTTGATCAGTTTGACCCCACGGAAGTATTTGCCGACCGATTGCTTCAACGATCTTATATCACATCTTCTCACCCTTTTCTTTCTTTCTTTCTTTCTTTCTTTCTTTCTTTCTTTCTTTCTTTCTTTCTTTCTTTCTTTCTTAAGAGGGGCCTTGTTCTTCTTTCTTTCTTTCTTTCTTTCTTTCTTTCTTTCTTTCTTTCTTATGAGAAGCCTTGTTTTTCTTTCTTTCTTTCTTTCTTTCTTTCTTTCTTAAGAGGGGCCTTGTTCTTCTTTTCTTTCTTTCTTTCTTTCTTTCTTTCTTTCTTTCTTTCTTATGAGAGGCCTTGTTTTTCTTTCTTTCTTTCTTTCTTTCTTTCTTTCTTTCTTTCTTTCTTAAGAGGGGCCTTGTTCTTCTTTTCTTTCTTTCTTATGAGAGGCCTTGTTTTCTTTCTTTCTTTCTTTCTTTCTTTCTTAAGAGGGGCCTTGTTCTTTTCTTTCTTTCTTATGAGAGGCCTTGTTTTTCTGTCTTTCCTTCTTTCTTAAGAGGGGCCTTGTTCTTCTTCTTTCTTTCTTATGAGAGGCCTCGTTTTTCTTTCTTTCTTTCTCATGAGAGTCTTCGTTCTACTTCTTTCTTTCTTTCTTTCTTTCTTATGAGAGTCCTAGTTTTTCTTCCTTTCTTTTCTTTCATTCTTTCTTTTTTCTTTCTTTCTTTTATGAGAGTCCCCGTTTTTCTCTCTCTTTTTGTTTCTTTCTTCTTACGAGAATCCTTATATTCTTTCTTTATTTCTTTTTATTCAGGCATTTTCATGATTCTTATTTTTCATTCTCTTTTCTTTTGATGACCCTGTATTCCTCATTTCTGTCTTTCCACTCCCTTTTTCTTTGGTATTCACTTCTAGAATTTCTTCATTTCCAAGCCTATTTTCTCCCCAAACACTCAAACATCCGCTAAAAATGAATCCCAGGCCATTCTCAACAAGTTTATGCACTTTTAACAAAACAAAAAATAAAACAAACTCGAAATGCGAGCCCTAGAACGAAAAGAAAGCAAAATGGCGTCCGTTTATTTCATTGAAATGGACGGCAACTTGCGTTTTCCGCTTCCATTTTGTCGCTGCTTCGGTTGTCGGTCAAAGATGTGTTTCTTGCCGCTCTCCGGAAAGAGATATTATTGACAGCGAATGAATGGATTTCCTCTGGATGCACCAGAGAAAATTCAAGATTTCACCTGTCCGAAATGTCATGCTGGACAAATTGATCAGACAACAACGAACTTTACATCACTCTCTTTTTTTTTTTTGTCATTTTTCGCTTTAATTTTTTCTTTTCTTCTTTTTTTTTTTATTTTTCTTTCAATTTTTCTTTTTTCTTCCCTAGTTTTCTTTTTCTCGTTGACGTTTTCTTTTCTTTTTTTTATTTTTCGTTCAATTTTTCTTTTTTTCTTTCCCATTTTTCTTTTTCTCGTTCAAGTTTTCTTTTTCTTCTTTTTTTTATTTTTGCTTTCTCTTCTTCATTTTCTTCTTCAATTTTTCTTTTTCTTCCATTTTTTTTCTTTTACTAGTTCAACTTGTCTTTTTTCTTTTCCTATTTTTCTTTCATTGTTCAATTTTTCGTTTTCTCCCATTTTCTTTCTTTCTTTCTTTCGTTTTCTTTCTCTTCTGCAATTTCCTTTTATCGTTCTCTCGCCATTTTTCTTTTTCTTCTTTCCCTTTTTTTTCTTTTTATTCTTTCCCTTTTCCTCTTCATGTTTGTATTCTTTCTTTCCCTCCGTTTTGCTCCTCTCTTTCTTCTCACTACATTTGCATTTTTTCTTCGTCTTTCGTCATTATTACTTCCTATATTCTGTCTATTTTCTGTCTTTTTAAGTGTCCCCCCCATATCTTATTCTCTTTCATGCACTCACAGGCGAACCCACGTAACGCAAGCACACAGACACATTTGTCTATATGTATATCCCACTTTTTATCTAGGCTCGAAAACCTACTAAAAGAGTCGATAATTAATAAAGAACCTCAAGCCACGAGAACAGCTCATTCTAGATTTTTCTTTTTCTTCCTTTTTTTTTGTTATTTTTGCTTTCTCTTTTTCATTTTCTTGTTCAATTTTTCTTTTTCTTCCATTTTTCTTTTTTTTTCTTTTACTATTTTAACTTTGTCTTTTTTTTCTTTCCCTGGTTTTCTTTCATTGTTCAATTTTTCGTTTTTACCCATTTTTAGTCTACAATCGCTATCCCACAGACGTGCTGTGGCTTCCCTCTGTCTCTGAAATTTTACTTCTAATTTATTTATTTATTTATATCCTTCAGTAGGAGTAGATAGGTTTGCCTATTGCCCGGTTTCCACACCTTCCTGGTCTTTTGAACAGGAATAGAGGTTTATCTTTTGTTTCCTCTTTAGGATTGGGTTTCCGGTTCTTTCTAAAATCTACTTTAACTCTATACTACTAACATCTCCGCCTAAACTCTGAAATTTTGCTTACTATTTATGTATTTTTCGCAACAGAAATAGATAGGTTCGTCTATCGCCCGGTTCATACTCCTGAACAGGTGTAGTGGTTTATCCCTTGTTTTCTGTTTAGGATTGCCTTTCCGCTTCTTCTATTAAATTCTTCTCCTTCTCTTCCATTCCCAATAGCCACTTGCTTCTTAGGGGCATTATCTTCTTGCTTGGGGCGAATTGATTTTTTTAATCAATTCACCCCAAGCAAGAAGAAAAAAAAAACAAACTTTGTCCATATATTTTCGGCCAGTTTCTTATCTTTCATTCTTATATCTCTGCTAATTTATTGATTAAAAGTCTGCGAGTCGAGTTCTATACCTTTTAGATCAAAGACTTCAAAGAATCTTTTTATATGCTTGGACAGCCTGAGAGGTGGAGGTCATTATCCAATCTTTCGTTGGTCGACGCCAAAAGAATGAAGGGAGTTGGCTGGCCGAAGTCAGTTGCTGTAGAAATATGCTTCCTTTCCTGCTTCCCATCAGAATGACTGATTCCCAACACTTTGAGAGCGACTCGTTACGCCTGCTTGGTCTCATGCTGTCTACTAACATGAGGTGGAACAAATACATTGAATCAATAGCTTCATCTACCGCAAGGAAAGTTGGCACCCTGTGTAATGTCAAAGTTTTTCTCGTCTGAGTCCATTTTTCAAATCTGTAAATCAACCATCTGTCCTTGAATGGATTATTGCTGTCATATATGGTCTGGTGCTCGCGCTGTACGTCTCGAGGTACTTGACAAAAACCAGAGACGAATATGTAAGATGATAGGTCCTGATCTGTCATCTGGTCTACAATCGCTTTTCCCACACACGTCCTCTGGCCTCCCTCTGTCTCTTCTACAAATATTTTCACGGTAAATGTTCCGACGATCTACTGTTACTGGTTCCCGGACTGCATGAATTTAAGTGAGCTACCAGGCTGGCATCTCGGTCCCACCCTTTCACTGTCGAAACGGTTAAATGTAACCGTTTCTCCTTCTCCCGCACTTCCCGTCTGTGAAACTCCCTTCCCCTTACTTGCTTCCCCGACGACTATAATCTTTAAATATTTAAGTGTAATGTCAATCGACATCTGACACCCTAAGCTTGTTCCCCGTCGTCCTCTGTGTACTTTCTTCAAACGCGCACCTTTGCTCTTGTTTCAATCCTCTGTAACGCCTTGCGTGCTAGTGACACTCCCGCCAGAAAAAAGAAAAAAACAAAAAAGAAACAAAAAACAAAACAAAAAAAACGGAAAAAAGCAAAACAAAAAAAAAACAACAACAAAAAAAAAGAACAAAAAAGCAAAAAGAAACAACGAAAAAAAGCAATTAAAAAAAAAGAATCCCCCCCCCCAAAAAAAAACAAAACCAAAAAACACACCCGACTGAAGTTTTGGGGAGTTAATCTTGCTGGTAACATTAAATTAAAGTGTCTTTCGTTTACTGTAAAGAAATTTAGTTAGTTCTCTTGTCATTCCCTTTAATATCTATTTTGTAGGACACGTGATAATCTCTTATTATTGACACAACGTTTCGATCAGTTTGTCATCTGAAAAAAAAAAAAAAATGAAAAAACTTATCAAAAAGTCCTGCGACCCCATTCTGATATCGCAAACTTGAAACAATCTGACATTGGATTTACGACACCCAAAAATAGGTTCTTGTCTTTACAGCCATATACAGTTCTCGTCCGATCGGCGAAGTTAAGCACCGTTGAGCCAAGTCAATGCCGAAATGGTTGATTGCTTAGCAATACCAGGCGCTGTAAGCTTGGATGTACGGCTTGTGTAACGGATAATGGATCAATAATCAAATGAAAAAGTGGTGTTATGTGTTGAGGATAAATTTTTCTTGCATAGCACGCGGAAGAAAAAAAAGAAAACTAAACTGAATAAAACCTTAAACAAATCATTTGGAAATGTTATTCGATGATATAAATGTTAAATTTCTTTCAGAAAAGGACGTTTTTTGTCATTATTTTTCGATAATTTACGTATTGAATTATCCGGAACTTTTAATTATCCGGAATTCCAATCATTCTGAATTCCAATTATCCGAAATTTCAATTATCCGGAATTTTTAATTACCCGGAATTCCAATTATACGGAATTCCAATTACGCGGAATTTCAATTATCCGGAATTTTTTTGAATTATCCGAAATTCCAATCCTCATGTAATCCAATTATCCGGAATTTCAATTATGCGGAATTTTTTAATTATCTGAAATACCAATCATCCGGAATTCCAGTTATCCGGAGTTTCAATTATCTGGAATTTTTAATTATCCATAGTTCCAATCGTCCGGAATTTCAATTATCCGGAATTTTTAATTATCCGAAATTCCATTCATCCGGAATTCCAATTAACCAGAATTTCAATTATCCGGAATTTTTTATTATTCGAACAGTTTTTAATCCATCTGTCAAACACCAAAGGAATGATCAGGTTTGGCAAATGTTTAAGTTTATTGAGCTTTCAATCAGCAACTGCCCTTACAAATACATGTACTTTAACACTTTAATCTGCAATGTTATTGATCCTGACCTGGCATCTCGGCTTCAATCCCTTTCTCACCGCCGTAACGTAACTTCCTTGTGTCTTTTCCTATAAATCCATTCATAGTGATTGTTCTGATGAACTTTCCGTCATGGTAACTAGATTTCATGAATTTTGTGCTCAGTGCTAAATTGGCGGCAAGATCTCATTATTCTACAGTTGAAATTACGAAATATAACCGTAAGTTCTATGCTAACAGTTTCTTTTATCGTACTTCTCGCTTGTGGAACTCTTCCGGTGTATGCTTCCCAGTCAACTCTGATTTTCAAAAATTTAAATGCTGTGAGCGTTAACTCAGTAACCTCTTGCGCCCTAGTGGCTTTATTGCCTTTGATCTTCAAAAATTTAAATGCAATGTCAATCGTTATCTTCTGTCTTCTTAATTCTTCTTCTTTTATTCTTATTGTCTTTTTTCTTGGATAAGCGGATAAGTAATTATGTTAAGCATGGAAAATTCATACCTTTTTACTGTTTATCAACCATTTGTAGGTTATTTAAAGCCATTT